TGTGTGTTAAGAATGACTGATAAATGTTACCCTTTTTAGTAGGCAGAATAAAGTTCAGTGTTAACTTCCGTTACCACGGAAGTCTATGTAAAACTGTACGTGAACTTAAATATGTTAGAAGTCCTTTTTGTGTTCCATGTTGGACTGAGTACACTCTTAATGGTCTTTCACCTTAATACTTTAATTGCTACAGCAGTGGCTAGTTCCTGAATATTATTCTTGTAAATTAATTAAATCAAAGTGGAGGGGACACACCATTTGGAAAACATCTCAATCCTCAACTAATTCCCTATAGTGGAGTAAGTGTTGGATTCAAAGCATACAGTGGTATTTTGAGTCAGGCTGGGAGAGATGGCAGGGAACGGGATAGAAGTCTGGAAACAAGCAGTGGGAAGTAATGTTGTGGAATATTGTAAGGAAATAATAGCTACAATAAGGGAATTAAAAGGCCTTGATTTCTGCCAGCACTTCCTTTGGGTTTGGGTCCTAAATGAACAGAAACTTCTGATTGCTCTTCTAAAGGCACTGACTTTAACAAGACATTCCTCCTCTCTGATCACCTGAAATTATAAAACAGTGTTTGGCAAGGTAGAAGTGATGTTCAAGTGATGTTTTCACAGTGCCTGGAATAAAGTTTCCTCCCTGTAATACGGCAGATACGGGTGTCAGTGTGAATGCTCAGGGTTAGCCATGCTCAGCTTTAAATGCGTGACTGCGTATCCTCTCATCTCTCCCATCAATCGTAGTGAATCAGCCTTCAGGCTATTTGCATCTGAAAGAAGACTTGAATTGACAGTAAAATATTCACAGTCAATTCATGGATTATTACTAGTGTCGGTATATGCTAATTATAAACTGAGTAATCATACTAGAAAACATGTGGAACAGCTTTCAAACTGCTTGGGCTATTTTTAGTAAAACTGAGATATAATTAGTTTGCATTCAGTTGCTGGCACTGTAGTTACCCCTTTCTGCTATATTTATAGATAAAAAAACGTTGGTGAAGGTAATCCGTCAGGACATGCACTCTAAATAAGAGGCTAATCCTAAACTGGCCCGTGCTCTCCCTGTGCAATGTGAGGAGATCACTATGTGATTGCTGCGCCTCTTCTCTCTCGGGCAGGTGTGCATTGCTAACCAAAGGCCAGAGCTTTTGCTTCAATGTTGAGCTGGAACACTTGCATACCTTAATACACCGAGGGATTCCACAGATAAGTAAAAAACCCTGTAACCAAACTGCAAGGGAGAGAAAAATCTTTTTGGTAGCACCAGTATCACTGAGATGAGATACAGGTTTTAAGGCCTGAATCTACTGTACCATTCCCAAAGGCGTATCCCTCATACTGCTTGATCAGCCAAGATTTGGCAAATAATTTAGACTTTGTAGGAATTTTATGTCTGTTTCTGAAACAGTTTAATTGCATCTTGCTTATGATAATATTATGTCAGGAATGGATATTACCGTGTTTGATGCGCTTCCTGAATAATAATTTCTGGAATAATTTCTCAAAATAATCTTGCGATCAACTAATTGAAACAATGATACTTGCAAATAGGAAATCACTAGTTATTGGGCAAACTGATACTCTCTCAGCATTGCTGATCATTCATTACGTCTGTGTAGGCTCGCTGTTGCTGGCTCGAAGTTAAGGCCCAAACTCTTACCATATTGCTTCAAAATTTCCCCTCTTCTGTGGGGAGTATTAAATGTCCCTCACTTCCTATGTCACAGCTGAGCATATCTGCCTTGCAAATAGGGAGTTTCTTCCCACTCTGCATTTTAAATAAATGACAACACATTTGGATTCTTTTTATTTATTTGAACACTATGATTTAAGAACCTAAATGCAAGTTTTTCCCTTTATTTCTGCAAGTAGCACTGCAATCATAACTTACAAAAATGTTTAAAATACAAAATGTACATGAAATTACAATACAAGGCTCTGTAAACATCTAGAACTTAATCTTTATTGTCCCACATTTTTAAATATAAAACTTCAATTTGAACCATTTCCGAACCTCAAGGAATGACATCCATTCTGAGTATCAAAAATAGAGTTTCAAAGCTTTGTTTGCATCAGAACAAAACTGTCATGTTATTTTCATTCTTTGGTTTAAAAAGGATGGCAGTTCCCCTGATAACATGAGAGTTTTACTACACAAGTTCAGGTTGCTAGTTTATGGTAACTTCAGAAATCACCCACCCCGCCCTCACGATTAACTTACTACCCCTTAATTTTTTTGTTTTTAGCATTGATCTTTGACCGTCCTTATAGAAAAGCTACCTCATCATTAAGGCTTTCCTTCAGGATAATTTAAATTCTTGAAAAGTTTTGGAAAAGTACTCAGGGAGAAGAAAGGACTTAAGGGCAAGGAAGCGGATGCCAACAAAATATCAACAGTTGCCGGGTTCTGTTGTTTAATTAAATTTGCATAGTCCAATAGAGATTGTGTGCTTTTTATATCACTAAAATTATACAAGATTAACAGTCTTTACCTACGTTATCACACAAGCTAAAATAAAATTAAGACCCTTGTATTGAAGCTTTTACAAGGCAAATACAAAACTGCTTTAGTATCCAAAGCTATATTTTTTTTTTTAATTTCATTTTTAAATAGGAAAGCGTCTCTATGTCTACAGGCATCAAGGTATTTAAAGGCATCAGAAAATTTAGTGCATAGCAACTCCGGATTGTTTGGGCTCCTATATTTTAGGTACAGTGTGAATTCCAGCTACTTGGAGAACTTGCAAGGAGAGTCTGTACCAGTAGGATAAAGGAGCATAAATCCCATACAGTATGAAAAGCTTTTAAGTTAGAATTCTCCTACAAACAATGGTTAATGCAAAAGACCCAGTACATGAATGAAAACTGGAACATGCCTTGCCACCAGCACACAGTCTGAAGACAATTACAATTACATACTTTAGAGTGTTGTGTGGTTGGTTTTTTGGTGTTGTGTTTTTTGTTGTTATGTTTTTAACACCTTAAAAAAAAAAAAAAAAGTAGATCTATTTCTGAGCATGTGAATCCTCTTCTAGGATCTTTAATGTAAATGAGTAGAGGACAGAGTAAAGCACCATCACTGAGGGACAATCGCAATATCACACTTCTCAGATTATAGCCCTGCCAATTTTTTTCTGTGGATTTAAAGATTTGCACCATTGAACAATACATTCACAAAAAGGATGCTTAAGATTCCTAGCGCACACATAGTGGCCTTGCATTAAGTTGTTTGAAATAACTATGAAACATCAAGATAGTAGCCTTAGGCTGCACTCTTAAAAGGAAGTACATGATAAAGAGTTATAATTTCACCCGCTTAATGTATGGTCTTTTTAAAAGTTCATGATTCAGCTATTACAAAGATGCAATTGTCGCTACTTTAACGGTATTGCTTGGGTGCTTATAATTTCACCCGCTTAATGTATGGTCTTTTTAAAAGTTCATGATTCAGCTATTACAAAGATGCAATTGTCGCTATTGCTTGGGTGCTGACTTGGGTGCTGACTTAAATTTAGGTGTAAAGTTTTGCCTGCAAAAGGCTTAATGGAAAGTTTTCCCCATGACTGTCTGCCAAAATGCAACATTAGTAGGATCTGTGTTTACTCTTACAGGTATTATAATTAATTCAGTAACGGTATCCACTTTAAGACCATTTGACTGTAATTTTAAGAGTTTATAGTAATTTTCTACAGAAAGAGGCATGTGCTCCACGTGTTAAACCACTAAAATATCCACAATTGTCTGAACTAGTTTCAATCCAAATACCCCTTCTATATTGCAAAATTTTTAATGTATTCACTCTTAATTTTTTGTTAAGAGTATCATGGCTCTCCCAAATGAGGAACTAAAGCTAAACATCTTAAATGTTTTGAGGTTCAGCATATTTGTGATCTTACTTTGCCGTGAGTGTTGTACCCTGTACGTTCCCTATCAGAAAGTTCTGTAAACGACAGTGTCTTCTGGGGGAGGCCGAAGCAGGCAGTTTCAGATCCTCTCCTAGGTGTCTAATCATAGAGGCCTGAGATCTTTAATAACTACGTAAACAGGTCGTTTCAAATATATCGGATTATGTGGGTAAGGGAAATCATCCTTTGAGCACAGCACAAAAGCTTACTGCTGCTATGAGTCTTGTGTATTTCTTTGGTAGCTTCTGCTTCACAGGTTTACAATTAAACATGGGCAAATTATACTACCTAATCAGTAATTCACAGTAAATGACTTTTTAACAAACTGACATTTATAAACAGCTTAAATTTCAGGAACTGTAATTGTCATCTCTTTAGGATTTCCAAGTGGCATGGTCAGGCATACACCATATAAAAGATACAGACGTGATCAAATGATTTATTGCATGGAAAACTTGAATGCCACTGAATTGGTGATTTCAAAACCATATTCTGCAGGGATAACAGGAACGCTTAGATCCTCAGGAAATATTAAAATTCCTCCTGTATCTCACATGGCTTTGATGTTGCTGTTCTTTAATCTAAAATCCTACTGCTCAAATTGGATTACAAATGTAACTTTCTAAGAAAAAGCTATTTCAAGAAGGAGCCTGTGCTAATAAAGAACAGGAAGATTATCCACAAAGTTATAAAAGTTAAATTTTGGAATGTCATTTCTATCCCAACACTTTCATGATGGAATGGTCTTTTTGCAGCCTATCAAGTAACATTTTCAGTTTATAAACAAGTGCAGATCTACATTTGGCTTTGCTTCCTATGATCTAAGAAAGAAAACACTACAGTATTTGTATACACAATGGCTTCCATGGCATTGGCTTCAGATGACAGGTATGATTTTGCCACTGGAAGATTGTATTAAAAAAAAAATTAATCAATAGAAGCTTTAAAGGCTTTCCAAAATGACCAAAAGGTGTTACAAATCATCAGTTACAAACTATACTATCTCTAAGGGAAAGCAGCACACTGAAGATGTGTATTAAACCTTTTTCCACATTCAGTACTGTGAATATTATAAGAGCAAACTAACATCTCCACACATCTGAAGCACTTACAATATAAAAGTATTCTATTTAAATGCAAAAAGCAAAGCTTGTTTGTAACTTTTAAACAGTTAAAATATCTGGTGTAGATTCTGTGTGTCCATTTTAAGAAGTCTCTTTACAGCATCTGATGAACTATAATTAAAACGCTCTGTCTCTACATCAAAAATGTAACCCACTAAAAGGGCTTTGCAAGGATCCACTGTTCCAGTTCATAAAGGCCACAGAGTTGGAAGCACAGTAAGTCTAAAGAGGAAGAGGACGAAGAAATATTCAGAGAAACTGTTAAGTTTTCATGGATGTTTAGTTGTAAGCTTATCCGTTACTGGATTCCATCAGATAGTCTTGTCTCCAGAGATCCAGGACATGTATGTGCAGACTGGCTGGCCACTGTTGTTCCATGTGACACTGAGATCTGTGACATATCTCTTCCTATGATCTCATTCACTACAAAAAAAAAAAAAAAAAAAAAAAAAATTAAAAAGTGACGGGTTTTATGCTTTCCAAAAGGCAGAACTCATCAGTGAGTTTCCTTTTAAAAAGAAGTATTTCCGTGCTAAGCCTTGATGTAGTTAAGCAACAGAGGATGCATAAGGAACCTAACTTCAGTGACAGCTGAGCCAAGGGGTGGGGGGCAGAAAAGCCCTAGTTTCACTTAGTATTACGCTTTATGCTTACCGTAATCCGTGTTGGAGAATCCCTAAAACACTTGAAGAAAATAAGCACATACATATTCATGACAACCAGGTCACTGAAAGGCACAGCATAGGTCAGTTTAGCACAGATTTCCCCACAGAACTCTTTCTGTTCAAGGGTGTTACAGGCACAACAAATAACTCAAATAACTGTTGGCTCTTTCAAGCTACTTACAGAACTTCCTCAGAACTTGGATTTGGGTTAATAGACTATTCTTTTTAATACTATATACCTATGTAATCAGCCAGTTTTCTGAATACTTGCATTTCTGAAACTGCAGTAACAAAATCCTCCTTAGCTATCAGTCAACTTTCCTACAGTGAAGAATTAAGTCTGAGTAATATGTAGGTTGCATCAGTCTGTGTGTCAAATTCAGCAAAGATTAGTCAACTGTTACTATTTACAAGTGAGGGACACCACGGTGAATATGACAAAGTAGCACTTCAGTTATCAACAAATGACAATTTTGGAGTGTTACTCTAAAGCCTAGAGAATTGATTGCAGTACGACTGAGTTTGGAAGATGACAAAAATAATTACTTTCATGGATAAGCATAAATGCAGTGACGTAAATGTCCATTTTACAAAATGGGCAACAGTGAGTTTAACTAAGAAAACTGAACGATAATCTAAGTGGAGATGAAAAATATCACATTAAGTAGTAACGGCAAACTTTAGATAAATATTAGATGATAACCAAAATATAAATTATTATTTAATAGTTAGAAGAGGCAGTCAATCATCTTGTTTTCCATGATTAAGTGGCAGCAGCTTTACAGTATCTCTTATTCAGCAAGACTTTGAATATGGTGAATTATAGGAATAAAAGACAAGCCTCTGAGATGAGTTTGTTTGGACCTTCTATAAACAGGCATTTAATGAGATCCTTTTGTTGAGGAAGGACCATTCCTAGTAACAAAAAGAACATTTTGCTAGTAAACTGCTTACACTGAAAATCTTAACAGATTTGGAAGCTAGGCTTTTGCTCTTTTGTCCTCCACTGGGTAAATTTAGAGAACAATATTGACATACTTCACCACCCTTCTTAATGCTTCCTTAATTTTCCATGGCAGGATTTAGCTTCCTACTAACCATTCCTGTCTGGTAATAAGGATAACAAAATCCTTAAAAAACAGGTACTGTAAATTGCTCTTTATGTTTATAGAGTGTTCAACAGTCTGAATATTGCCTTTTGCTGCAGCAGTAGCATAAGTGGGTCTGAAAGAAAACGTAGTAATATTGTGAATGCTCTGAAGTATGTATATCATATATAAAATCCAGCTCTGACAACAAGTTTTGCCTATGTTCTTTTAGTTTACTTGGGAAAGCTTTAAAATCACCGTATGTCATTTACGCACATGTAAACACGGAGGCGGTATTTGTTACCTAAAAAATCAATCAATGGCAATGGTATTCTCCTGCACAAACGCAAGGACAGCTTGTTAAAAATACACATTATTGCAGCCCAAAGGTTAAAACAGTTCATCTGAGCTATGTAATAACCAATTCCCTTGAGTATTACAAGACTTGCAATTTATTTGGCTTCAAAAAAATCTTTCACTCGGTGAACCTAACTGGCACTATGACGCTGAAAATTGTGTGACTGCAGGTAGGATACTTTTGCAAGTACTTGTATTATGCAAACACAATGCGTAAGCAAACAGCCGTTAAAAAACAAGACTTTTTTTTTCTTTTTTTCCAACACAACTTAGATATTCACTTACAAGAACTATGCTCCATCAGTTTCTGTCAGGGCACTTCTTAGCTGCTCTAACTCACAGAATCTCCAACAGCTATTATCTACTGTCTGCTACTCAGCAGTTCCTTTCTGCAAATCAAATCCTGCAGCTGTTCAGTACTACTAAAACTTTGAGCAGGACAATAAAAAGCAACATAGCTAAATCCCTTTTGTATTTTGAAAGTACTAGATGGGTTACTTCAAGTTTTGATAGATGATAGGCACCTGTACTGGCAACATCAGCACAAAGTGGTTTATACTGCTGCAGTGTTCTGTAGATCCCACAGGCAAAGGTGTTTAACTGAACAGCGTGTAGTCGTGTGGCATTAGGTTTTCCTTAAATCACATTACACTGTGAACACAATAGTTGGTCATGTGGTGTTTTATTTGCCAAGGTTCTGCATAATTCATTGTGTAGAGTATTAAATTAGAGTTACAGGTTAGTTGGTGTTGTGTGTGTGTTTTGTGTGTGTTTTTTTTTAAATAATTGTCAATTTGTTTACAAGAAGCTGTTTTATAGCTCAGTGCGATAGCTCTGTCATACCTTTCATTCTGCTGCTGGAGAACTTTTTTTGGCAATGTTTTTAGCATACGGCAAACACAGATTTATCTGGTTTATATGGATTTACATTAGAGACAGCTACCATTTCTAAAGGAAATGCAGTACCTTGTCTTCTTCCTAACAGAAAACTCCAGTGGAGTAGTTTTACTTGCCACAGTGATTTTGTTAGGATTGCTAATGTTTAAGCCCAACCGGTATTCAAGTGTGCACCTCCCTGCTCCGGCCATGTACAGATGATGGTAAAAATGCTTCAAAGAAGGCACAGCCTGCAGAAGCCAGCAGCTGAGATCAAAGCGCTGTAACCTTTTGCAGTGCAACAGTCTGGCTGCCAGGTGTGAGACACCTGGGCAGGGCGGTATGGGGAGTGAATCGGTAACCGGTAACCGGCTCCGTGAGGCACAGGCCTGCTGCCGGACTGGCTGTGCCTGCCACGCCTGTGAGCGGCAGAAGGGATGAATGGGGACGGTGGGGAGTAATGATCTAACATGGACAAATGGGCATTTAAACCAGGAAAGAAGCTTTTATAGAGAGAAGGCTGGTCTTTTAAAGCCTGAAAAAAAACCCCCACATTGTAAAGAAGCCATATTGAATGTTTACCAAAGTCAGGCAATCTGGAAGTCCTTTGGAACAGCTCACTGAAGAGATGTACAACTCAGCTTTAAGGCAGTAAATAATGAGATGCCTGCATGTATCTAAGTTGGGAAGCATTTGGCTTTATATAGAGGATATCCTGTGTTTACCAGCATTATCGTAATTAGGCTGTCTTTCTGACAGTGGAATGGTACAAATTAAAGACGTTTAAAATGTAAATCATGTAGTCAGTAAGAAGAGTTAAAGTTCTGCATAGAAATGTACAAGACTGAAGGTGAAATCATACAGCTTTTTTCCTTTTTGTATTAATTTGCAATAGAGAAAATTCTATTAGTTTAAAGACTAAAACTTTTTTAATACATGCGCTTATATTTTATAAAATTTCCTTTCTTTGGCGCAAGTTTCTAGGGGAAGTCTGCAGAGGTGGTTTGGGATTCAGTAATACAGATCTCAAGTATGTGGTTAAGGTTCTCTATGGTCTGTCTGCCAGGTTCATTGGTTGTGTAGTATATACTTCTGTTGTCTCGTTGAAGAGAGCCAATCTCATGAGACTTAAGATGGAGGTGAACAGTTATGCGAGTAGGACTGTAACTCTTTCAGTCTACTACCTTCTTCCTGCCACTCCCCAGTCAAACTACTGTCTGTTTGGTATGTTTGGTGCCAGGTGTGCCGCTAATCCCATACCCTGGACCTCAGTCAAGAGATGAGGAACCAGAAATATTTTACATACTAAATAATTACAGAGGTCTAGCTAATATTTAGTACTCATTTAGTACCTACTGATCACCTAAAATTGTTTTGGATGATCAGTGTCAACTGAGTGGACAACATCAAAAGTGTTATGAAATGTTTTACATGCTAACAATCCAGGTTGCTAATCTTGAAATAATGACTGGATCAGTTCAAAAGAGAGAGAGGTGGCACACACTGCACTGAACAGAATGTGGCAGATTCCTCCACTCCAAAAGTGGCAACTGCATTTTGAAAACTTGCTTGTCAGATATGGCATGGATCAAAAAGCAACAGCTTTTTTTATTTTTTTAATTTTTTTAAAATCAGGCTGTGAAATGGAAATCATTTTAACAACTTTCCTATGTCTATTTAATTGACGTCTTTGGCAGTTATCCCAGATTTCAGAATTTCAGCTATTACTTCATTTGCAGTAGTTTCACCTTTTTCTTCCCCAGTATTTATACATAGTGTAAGCTGGCTGGTAAAGCTGTATACCGCTAGTTAAAAATAGATTGTGCAGAACGGAATTTAACATGGTGGGGAGAAAACCTTCTGTTACAGACAGATTAGACTGGACCTGTCAATACTGGTGACACTGTAGTATTGTATTGCAAAGGTTTTCTCGTGCTTTGCTTTGTTTTGTTTTGTTCTTCCCCCTCTGCCGCGTTAAAAAACCGTGAACATGCCACATTCAAAAAGCACTGAAAGTCTTCTGGGGGCTCAAGCTCTTATAACCTTCCAAAAAACCTAAGCAGCATACTAACATCAATACCAGCGGAACAGAGTAGAGACAACGAGCTCTGACTGTTGGATCTGCTGTCAAGCTTGTAAAATAAGAGCAAGCACATATTCTGGTTTACGGGGTTGTTCCCGCTGTTTTCATGTCACAGCGTTCTGTTTGCTTTTTTAAGTCCCTACTGACTGTGCACATGAAAGACAGGCAAGCTGCTGAGATTGACAGAAAGCTGGGCCACAGCTCCTTGGAGGCCTCTCGCCGCCTTGCCCTGCCCTGATCTTTTAGGCTGAGGGCTTTACCTCTTGGTCACTGTAGGCTTGCGCTGGGACAGCTGATAAAGTTATGGCTCCAGCTGTTTGCTGCATGGACAGCCAGACTGTTCATGAAGATCTCTTAAAACTGCTGCAATTTGCAATCCAGAGTTGCAAGATAAACTAAAATTAGGTTGAACAGCTCAGCCATGTGTGCAGTGAGTGACACATACAGCCAGGGGTACTAATCTTATCAGCTGTTCCAACAGAGATGCATCCGGGGCGCAGTACTGACCAACCTCTCGGGAGAAATTCTCACCTACAAAAAGTTATCCATGTTAGCTGATTTGAACAGAATAAAGCTCTTGTGTTATGAAGCATGACAACATCATGAAAGATGGTGCTTTTAATGATAAGTTGCTGAGTGTTTTGGATAAATTAACAAATTTAGAGTAACAAGTTCCTAAAAGAGGAACTGGTGCTTTCATCTTTGTAAGACCTATGCTTTTTTGCCCCACTAGTTTGTTTAATCAATTCTACAATGTCACCTTAAACTATTCTGTCAGTGTGACACCAACCCATAAACTGTCAGTCAACCTCTACACCCGTACCACCCTACTGAATATTTTAGATTAGAATAAAAACACATTTAGATGTAGCATGATCTCCAGGATAGGTGTTTGAAGTTCTCATATCAGAAGTAAAGGCATTATCTTTTTAACTCAAATGCAAAGCAAATACTGGCAGGCTTCTAAATTGCTTTGCTCTTAATTCCCCCTATCTCTGTGAATGCTAAGAGACAAACATTTTGTACTGGAGCACAAAGGAAAAGTATAAGCAATTCCTGAACCTAAAGACCTTCCTGGAAATAGTGCAAGTGACCTCTTTTCCCTTGCAGGAAGCTGGTAATCTATAACCAGCATCTATACTTTCTACAGGACAAGAGAATCTCTCTAATAGGCAGCTATCAAACATTTTAGGGTTTTGTAGGTCAAAAATACTCCCTGAAAACCTCCAGGGAGAACTACAAGCAAACAGATTAGGTATGTAATGTGCAATAGTAGAGACCTAGGGAAAACACACCATGATGCTTCCCCAGGATGTTCCACCAGCCTCCAAAATGTGTTTGTTCCAGGGAATTCCCAAGCTAGAGACAGTATCTTTTGTGCTGAATGGTCCCATTTGGATTTTTCTCCCCAAGGTCTTTAAGGTCTGCAAAATTCTGTCATCTGCAACATTCTGAGACAGTTTCAAAGCTTAACGACATATAGCTGTAGCAATGCTTTTTTTATGTGTTGAACTTGCTGCATGATCACTTGGTGGACACTGTTATTATTTTCTCACCCAAGAAGTATTTTCCATTACCTTTTCTGTTCCACCCATTCATTTTATTATGCTTTGCATATTCTCCTCCTTCATTTTTCTGGCTGGAGTGTCCTAGCTGATCAAATGTAAGTTCTGTTCCAAATCTTTGGTCATGCTAGCTGTCCTTAACCTTAACCAACACCCCCCCCGCCCCGTGAAACAACAGGTATGCATCCCATTCTTTTATGATATCAGGGACAAGATGTGGGCACATAACAGATCTATACAGCAGCATTTATTCATTCTCTGCTGGTTTCCTAAATATTCCTAGCATTTATTCACCCTTTAAAGACTGTTTTTAACACTACGGAGTAAGTTTTCATAGAATTGTCCATTTTAAATTCAAGATGGCTTTAAATGAGAATAGTTCAGAAAGCTCATCACTCTACGTATGGAATTAGGGCAGGTTTTTCTCCTTCCCTTACCCTGATTTCTACTTCTTTAACTAACTGATTTTCTTGAATCACAACATCTTCCTGTAGAGGATTCTTGACAGTTTTTGTTTTTCACTACTCTGAGCAGCAGCAGCGTCACATTTACCAACTGCAAGTCCACTGGCTCCCAATCAAACTTAAGCAAGAGGTTATACATTACAGTTAATAGTTCAACTGTTGCTTACTCTTTCAGAGCTGTTGTCTGGCATGTCAGCTAGTTGAGGTGAATTGTCACAGTCTGTTTATCTGTTCGTTCTGAAACCTTTTTACTGACACTTCGATTTGGGCATCTCTAGCTCCTCAACTGTGAACATCAATACAAAAAGCTTTCTAAGTTAATTTACCTTATTTTAACTGAATTCCTGATTTGTCATCTGTTGGCCGGGTTTCACATTTCACCTAATAATTTTCATGTTCTTTTCTGTTTTCTGCTTGTAGTCTGTCTCACTGCAGAGTAGTAGTTGTACACTTGATCTGAACACCTTCATAAATAGTTCACAGACTGCTTGGAACTATTTTACCCTTTTGACCGCCTATTTTTTCCTGAAGTAAGCTTTATTGTTTTCCTATAGTTCCCCCTTTTTAAGTTTGTCACAGCCTGCAATGCTGAAACTGCTACAAAACAAAGAAAGATTTTTAAAATATTGGATTTTTTTTTTTTTTGAGCAGTTCCTGTATGCTCCTCTGGCCCAAATAAAGAGATGTTTCCCCTTGTGGGTTCTTCTCATGACTTAGTGCTCCATGAAGCAGTCATCATGCCCATTCTGCAAAGGATGACTCAAGTATTCCATTAGTGTATTTCCTGCCTTTGCAGATTGTCTGATCTCTTGCAGCACGCTACAGTTACAGTTGCTCTCCTGTTCAGCAGTATAATTTAGAGGCTGTACTCTTCCTACTTTAAACCTGAAAGTTAAATCTGTAAGCAGTCTGTACTACTGGCTGATACAGTTAGCTTGTCTGATTTGACACTAAGCATTCTTCAAGGTACAGAACCATTCTAACTTCCCTGTGTAAACACATCTCTTGCATTAGTACCACACTGACTAGTTTTCCTACACCAAATACCTAAGACACCCATCATTTTAATTTTTAAAAAATAGCACATTTCTCAATTGTATTTCTGTCACCATTTAAGGCTGGGCCGGCTCTCTTTCTCAGATGCTAGCATTTATGTGTAAGCTTATTTCTCTCTGGGTCTGGTTTTCCGTTTGTGCGCCCTTTTAAAAAAGGGCCCTGTCAGCATGCGTTTCGGAATTCTAAGTCTGGGGCTCACCAACCTGAGTGTCACTCTTTAGTTGATGATACTGGTATTTAGGGGTTATTTTATTATAGAATTGGGTTTTAATTTTTAAAGAACTCCTGCTCGTCAACAATTATTCTGTACCTACCAGATTCTGAGTTGCACAGGATATAGTCTAGAACACAGATATAATCTAAGCCGTAACTGATATTTTACTAATGCATTTGCTGTTTCAAGGTGTAGAACTGTCAACATAGCATACAGAGTTCTTTCCCTGGTTTGCCATCTGAATAGTAGCTACTTACCTTACTAATAACATTTTGGTATGTAAGGAAAGTAGAACTAAGTCAGTTTTTTGAAAGATGAAAGACCAGCATTGTGATTTATTTCAGTTTCATGGGCAAACTTAAGATCAGTCTACACACTAATTAATTGAGAGTTTTATTAAGGCTATGCACAGAGCTTGGTTACTTTACTGTTAACAATCCCAAATCTACTGTACACTTACAGGTATTCCCCTTTAGAAATCTAAGGAAAGTAAAATGTGTTCTATGTGTTTATATACATAGGAAAAAAAGGAGGACAATGTAGTGCTTTGGCATTTTAGGCATGTTTGTAATAAAGCAAAAAACACTTAGGAAGAATGAGTATAAACCAAACACAACCAATATACCATGCATCAATTTCCAATATCGTTACTGCTTCAAAGTCATAGTGCATAATTATCTTCTTTATATGTGAAATAAAGAAGCTGAAAGCATCTTAAAATAAATCCAGACAACCTTTCCCAATTAATAGCGCACATTCAACTAGACATCTGTTTATGATTCTGTATTCCTACTTAGGTTGGTAGTGCACGCCACTGTGTTTCATCTATTTAAACTGACATTGCTTCATCTTCTTAAAAAAGGAAAAACATTCTAGATTTCTCATAGTTAACTGACCTGGCCACTCTACAACCTTGCCCATATTTGGCTGAAGATTTTAATTTCCTCTTCTGTTGTTTGACTAGATCTTACAGCACTCAGGAAGTTCTGTGGCAGCTATAGACACTTTAAGTGGAGGTTTTTACTGAATGAGGGTACACCTGGTTCACAACTTCTGAATTTCCAACTGTTTCAGAATACACAGGTGTCCAATTATAGCAATACTTTAGTATTACAGTGCTTTTCACGTGTAGATGTTAAGACTATTAAAACACTTTCCCCTTTCCTTCGTGCTCCAATTTCAAACATTGAAGCATTTCGGTAAGCAGACTCACCCTCTAGATTTTCCACATAGGAGTTGGACATGAGTGCTGAATGTTGAGTCCATTTCTCTGTTGAACCTGATGGCTGGTATTCCAGGTCAGAGATAAAACTGTCTGTGTCAGAGAAGAAGACAGACATAACTACTGACTGGACTAAACCAAGAAGTTACAGTTCACTCAACCAGGAAGTGACTTTCAGTTTTCTTTTAATAGCACTAACTTTAAATACCCAGTTTCATTCACAACTACTACATCAGTTGACACGAGTAACTATTTATAAATTATCAGAGTGCCTGTAAAAAACAATATCACTTATCTTGTATATTTAGATACTTTTCAGTTAGCAGCCAGAGCCATAAAGGTAATGGTTAATATTTTTGAATGTCTGTCCAGTTGTATCATCATGAATTTGATACGACATTTCATTTCAGTATTTGTGTTAGTTTAGAACATTCCTCCTGCAATTTTCTCTATCCGTTTTACTTACTGTGATCAAATTAAAAGCGCTCATGCCCCTTGACAGCACCTCCACTGAACAAGGTAGGCAAAAGAGTACTAGTAATTAAAACTTTTATTTTTCTTATCCTTTAAACCAAAGAAACTGTTGCTGTAAACAGCTGTTAGCTTCCCTTTTACTTGTCAGACTATCTGTATGTTTTGCCCAAGGTACCGATCTGCAGTCAGGCCGCACACAGTTCCAAGTGTTGGAAAACCAAGTATTATCTTGGCATCAGTGGCTCTATCAGACCAAGGCAATGTGAGAAACCAAGGAGGAAGTGGAGAACTGTGTTCCACTGAACTGTTTGTCCTGGAGGAAAAATGAACGTGGACTAGTGTATCGTTTATTATTTTAACCAACAAGTGCTTGTTTATTCAGTTGTGATTAGTGACTATGCAGAGTTTACAACTATATGTTGGGTTGGGTATGGGTTGTTTGGTGGTTTTTTTTTTTTTCCTTCTTCTCCTGCCCAAGACAGAGCTGCAAGTGTAGCAAATTAGGCTTTAATAGAATTAACAGAATTACTCTGAAACTGGCTAATTTGTGCCTTCTGGATAGAGCCACACATTTGCTTAGCCAGCATGGTTTCTAAGCCCTGCTTAGGGATGACTCTTGGGAGAATGAAAGAGTCTATTCTTACTTCCTCCTGAAACTCGAGCAGTTCGAATTACTACTTTGGATGACTTCTTGTGCTGAATTGTTTAAAGCGTAAAGTTACGTGTATTTAAACAGGAAGTGGAAAGCATTATCTGGGTTTGAATGAAAATATCCACTGCCATTTTGAAGGAAAGAAGTAGATGAAGGACAAATTCTTGTCAAATAATAGGAGATTAAGAACAGAACATTTTTCCCACCAACTGTGGTAGAACCAGCAAGAAAGTGACATTTAAATAAAGATCTAATGAATCCAGGGAGATGGGCAGAAAACTACCTTGGGATGAAACAAATTAACTTTTACCAGCAATCCTCTTTAAAGCTCAGGCTTTCAAAGGAGCAGACAACAAACACACTGACAAAAAGCCTCCAGAGAGAACAGTGGAGTTAATTAGCTCTTTTGAGCAACAGTCTCTGCACCATAAAGTCTGCACAGCTTATACAGGAAGGATTCTCTGTCACTTTAGCAGAGAAATATGATTCTGAGCAATTTTTCTAATTAATTTCATACACAGAGGGATTCTGAGGTTCTTGCATGCCCTAATAAAGCTGCTGACAGTATTGAGTTTTTGCTTTTGTAAATCCCTGACAAAACGGGTCATGCATAGAACATGTAACATGTCTCCAGCCAGCACCTTCTGGAATGAAGCATGCACTTGCCTCGGGCACACAATATTTGTTGTTTGTGAAACGTGGTAAATAAAGCAACAGCCTTTTAAACTGTGTAATATAGCATACAGATTTTGTTCAACGCACACTGAAGTTAGAACTTGAGGTACCAGATACATATACCTTAAGATACCTTTCTACCTCATAATTTCATAAACATTTGAGAAAGGTTTTTACTTCCTTAAGCAATACTAAAAATGTGTTTTGCACCCAAAGAATGTAACACTAAAATTAAAACTGTTAAATTGAAATAGAAATCAAGCAAACTGACATCCCATAGATCTATCTATTTAACTGATCAACAACTCATACTTTTATGAACCACCTCTTTGTCTTGGCTCCTCTCTTAACCTTTCTTTACTTAAGAAAAACTTTAAACCCTCAATTATCTGCACCAGATTTGGGTCACAGCGGTAAGTCAACTGAAAATTAGAGTTCTATTACAGATATAGGCAGACCAAAAAGCTACTGGAGTTATACCCTTTGGTTTGCAGGATCTCCTCCTACAAGAGTCAAGCAACTTCATTTTTTGTAGCACTGTCTGATTTAAAAGTTGAGCCTGTGTATCCTTTTCTACTACTGAAGTAGGATGTGTGGGCAATGGCACTTCACCTAGAAGGTGTACTGGTGTCAGAAAAGTACATCCCCCAAAATATTTTTCATACGCTTTGCAAAAAGAAATTTGATGTAATTGTATGGCAGATCTTATCGACTGTCTAGGTTTGGTAGTATTGCTGCATCCACCTAGGAATTCATGTGTTTTAGAGGACTGATGAGTGCACTGCTGCATTTACAGAGGTCATGAGGATCAGTAAACCTCAAAGAACATTACGGATAGACTGCAGTGCACGCTTCCTCAGATATAGGCCTTTTGTCAACTCCAGATAGAACTCTGTACATCAGCTGCATTTATGTGAAGAATCCCTGCAGCTACATCACATCAGTTAGTGCAGTATATTTAGCCTGGTTTTGACTCCACATGACCAGCAAGTAAGTACAGTGTCAATGTTCCCTTAAAAAAAACAAAAACAAAACACCACACACCAAAAACCAAACCCTGCCAGGCTATAATTAACCCTCAGTCCTCTCTGCTGTGGAGCAGCCAGCTGAGTCCATTGGTTTGTGATCGAAGGCAGCCATCCGGCAGGCCATGTTTGCAGTGGCAAACTATCAAGGACATGGTGGGCTCCCTTGCAAGTTACTATTCCAAGCTGTAAGACAGGCTTGCTTCTCGTAATTTTAGGTTCAATGCCAACTTTACTAAGAAGTACTTTCTTTTGATTAACTGATAAAATAAGGCTGTACGAAATGTTAGGAGGAGTTTAGTTTTCCTGTGCACATAATGTGTATAGCTATATAGACAGACCGAATGTGCCTCCAGAGTCGGAGCACAAGTGCCACTGTTACTTGGTACAGTAACAAATATCCCTGTTCGTGTCACGGTTATGATGTCACACTCTGCGGTTGTGTATCATAGTGAAACCAACTCATTTAAGTCCTATGTTTATCCCTTCCTTTCACATGAGAAGACAGATGAGTCTAACACAGTAAGTATTAAGCGTGAACTTTGGAGCTAGAGGACACATGCTGCAGAGTGGAAAGCAGTGCGGAAGCATCTAAGCGTATTTTTTACCAGTGTCACAAGGGCATGCCTAACTCCTTCCAGTTCTGCTACTATTGCGAGTGTCTGCACCGTGATGTAGACATGCCACTTAATCGCATTCACAGAATAAGTTTCTAACCTCTTCCAGTTCTTAAATGGGAATATTTTTGTGGTGGTGCAACTAGTTGAACTTACTTTGAATTAGTTACAAGGTGTTCTGTGGCCCTCAGAGGCAAATAGGAAGTTTCATACATTATCTGGTCATAGATACCTGAGGATTTATCTGAAGTTCTTTACACATCAGCAGCCTATAACTGGTCTTGTCGATAGTCGCCTTGCTGGCACAGGTTTTACAAACCCAGTGAACAAATCCACTGGAAGAAATGGTCTTAGCATCCTTAAACTGTTGACAACCCCAGATGAATAACATTCTCTTCCCCTTTCCCCACTGTTCCAACTTTTTCTTTATAACCTACTGCTCAGTCTGGATCTTTCTCTATTTCATTGATAACACTTACCCATTTCTAAAAGTAGATTCTCATTCTCTTCCAATACATTTCAGGTTCTGCCTTCTCAGCTTACTCAACCTCAACATCTCACTGAAGGAGCCCGTAAGTTTCTGAGAAGAATTAGAACTGTAAACTGCTTTTTATTGCTATCTCCATACTGCTTGACCATATATGTTTAATATACAGAATACTAAGAAAGGAGGGTTTGAACACAACCTTACTAAACAATTTATACTAGTACAATTTTCAGAATGCCTTTTATCAACAGGAATAGTCTGAGAGTTCCATGCACAATGCACGCTGGAGTTCTTGTTACACAAATCCATGTTGGGCATGCTACAAGATGCAACATTTTGTTCTGTGCTGAGGCGGCAGTAAACACTCTTGAGTTTGAGATGTACCTCTCAAGAATGTCTTAAGCTTGAGTTGCACAAGGTATTTGACAGGTATTTGTTTGAGCTGCTCTCCTCCATACTAAGCTAGACTCTAGCATTCAGTATCTTTTGTGTTTCTGTAGACCTTCAATACTCTGTTTGGCAGGACAAATGACCTGTTACTGCGTAAGTTTTAGATATATAGAGAAATACAAAGTACAGTCATTCTCCAGTACTTTCTTATTAATTACTACTGTGATTCTCCAGAAGTTAAGCCAAAGCTACAGTAAAAAGCTACCTGTAAAGATGTACAAATTTTCTAGCAAAGATTAGAATAATCTCTGAGTTTCCCAGCAAGAGAATTTATCAACTAGAGAGTTACCACAGAACTATTAAAATGAATGAATGCAAATGGCTTAGAATTCTACATGGAATGTGTCTAACAAAGCAGAGTTGCTTTATGTACACAAAACAGTTAGAGGATTTCTAGTTATGATTTATAGTAAATCCAAATACTGGATTTTCTAATCTCCAGCTTTATGTAATGGAGATGCAATGAGTAACAAAATGTAAGAGGATTAGTAGAAGGTCATCCTGATTTCCTGAATACAGCCTAACATAATACCTTAAAAATGGTTACAGTTGTACACGTTAGAAAACTCATCACTATAGAAAGCCATGAAATCCAAGGTAAACTCACTCTTAAACTGCAAAGCACAAGAGATTAAATTTTAGATCAACAGTATTAGAATAGATTTAATTCTAAAACTTGACAGTAGGATAGGTAAACCACCACACTAGGAGCACTTTTTAAAAACAGAGTAGGGAAAAAAAACCATCAGCAAGTCCTCATCATATAACTAGATTGAGTCTAACTTTGACTTGCCTTTTTTTTTTTTCCTTCTTTTTAAGTGGGGAAGAAATGGGATCTTTATTAGCTGTGTATACAACAGAGCACAGTATGGATGATGCACATGGGAAAGGACAGAAATGACCAGCTGCTGGTTTCTTGTCATTTCAGCTGCCTTGTTTACACCTATTTGCAGCCCTAAATATTCTGCTGTCTGTACAGGGAAATGTTAGCCTGGGGAGCTGGGCAGAGAGCAGACTTGCTGAAAGATGTTAAGGGAAAAAGAAGGTCCAACATGCCAGGGGAAGGGGGAGGAAAAGCAGAGGGGACAAATAAAGAGCAAGAAGCTGCTTTGACATAGTTCCAGTCCAAAAGTTTACCAGCTTGTGTAAATTGACTATTGCAAAGATCTGAGCAGACAAAAAAGCACTGTTTTTCAGAACACCTTTTCAGTAGTAGCATACAGTACAAATTACTTTGAAATTGCATGATGTTTCAAGTGTTTTCTGCAATATCATTTGAATTTCGTGTCTAGCTGTCCTCATGCATTTTGATCTCTTCTTTCTTCAAGTGAATTACAAAGTGTTTCCTTTAGGAAGCAAGGGTGGGAAGAGGGAAAGCCAAACAAAAGAGCAAATTCAAGGTAGAAGTTAGAAAAGCCTAAAGACCTTAACCAGATCCTGTTGAAAACCAAGAAAAACAGTGTCACACAAACTTGGGGGGGGCAGGGAGGAGAAAAAAAAAAAGTGTCCTTTATGCAGCCACGCAGGTAGAGGATCTGCCTTTAAATTACGTAATCCTTTCTCACTCCTCGTCTGAACAGAGCCCAGCTGGCTCTAACTGGTAAAGGGCAAAGGAACACACCAACACTGAAGATACTCCATCCTGGGCGTTGGCAAGCACATGTGACTCTGCGGAGAAGCTATAAATGGTGAATGCGGATGTGTTATACCTGCCAGGGGATGCTGGATCAAGACTAATCCAGATGCTCTTGGCTTGACCACCAATGGATGAAGCAGCTTTGTACTTCTGTATGAAGTAGTGGCTTTGGGGATTTTTGGTGTGTTTTGAAGAAAAAGCCTGAATGTTGGCTGAAGAGGCCGTAAGAATCACTTTTTAGGAGTCTGCTTAAAGGAATTTATGTAACTATTATCTATGCTGCCACTTCTGCAGGTGGGGTGTGGGTTTTTTTGGTTGTGGGTTGTTGTGGGTTTTTTTTTTTTAAAGAATTAAAATAAGCTAACCAGCTTAGTAATTCTAGGACAAATTTTGTCATGAGGTAGCACTTCCATATTACACTGCAATTTTGTTAAAATTTCTTAAAATATTTTATTTTCTTTGCAAAGACTGTATCTACTGTGCTAATTTTGAAATAGTGCACATTACTTAAAAGAAGATTATTCATGCCGTCAGGCATTTTTTGAGGTTTTTTTTGTTTACTTTAAAACTACTGACTTAAATATTTAAGATCAGTAATTCAGACATGATTTACAAAATTTTCAATTGGCTTTGCCTTAATGTTTTGAGAGGTTTATTCACCTTAACTGGCAATCCTCAAAAACCTATTTTCCAACTAAATATAGTTTTCAGGTTTGATATATTAGCTGGCAGAACATACTGTATCAACATTGAGTTATACAGTTATGTTTGGATTTTTTTTTTCCTTAATTGTTATAACATTAATGTAGGATAACTGATTTTCTCTTTGTGTCTAGTTCTACTTGTATGGAAACTAAAATTCAATTATACACACAAAAAAAAGTTGAAATTATTTTTTAAACCTCAGTATTATGTTAGATACATTATAAAAAAAAAGTGTTCCTGCCTAAACATGTTTTCTTATTTAAAGCTGATTAAGCAGAGGAAGTATTTACTCATGTTGAGAGAATTGAGCAGCTTGTTTCTTGTCACTATGCCCTTTGAGATTTTTTGGAACATCAGGTTTCAGGCTAGACATTCGATTTCTATTTGCAGATTGGAAATTAAAAAACCCCAACAAACCCAATCCCCCAAGCAATCATCGAATGGCAGTAATCTGAAACTGCAATGAAGGTAATCTCTGTGCTGGCAAACGTATTGTTGCTGCCAAGTGCTAGTTTCACATTTAAAACCACGTTCTATTTTCCATATAGGAAGTGTATAGTTTAGTCACCAGTTATCAGACCTTCTTTAAACTTCTGTAGCAAGCATTATTTAGAAAAACAAATTAAAAAGCTGTGGCCATTTGACTCTCTCGTACATTGATTCTAAACTATAAGCAAGTGGCCACAGTTTTAAGTGTGGCTCTTGCAGCTTTTCCTGTGGTTCAATGCCTTTGTCAGCACAGAAACAACTCAGTAATTTCACTGTGTTAAGCAATGGAAATAGCTTCTAAAAGCAACTAATTTGTGACATAGAGGGGAAAAGAACTGGCTTTCTTTTTACTGTGCATTTATTTTAATTTCTGACCAAGTATAAACAAACTGCCAAGATGCTCATAAATGGTAAACACTTCTGCTTATATTGTGAAAAGTTTAACTACAGTATTTACTTTATTTATTTCTACATACTTTTGTGGGTGTGGAGGGAAGAAGGATGAGAAAGAGGTAGGTTCTAACATGATACTTCTTGAAACATTAGACTTCTTTTTCATTCCTCTAGTACAAAAGTAGAAAATGCCTTTTTTTTTTGTTCCACTCTGTTGCCTAAAGCCTTGCTCTTCTCCCCTCAGCAAGTCCTTGAGAGAATCCGTCTCTTCGTTTCTAAATAAAGTTAAGTTGATTGATAAACACTTTTTCTAAAAAGAGAGCTTTGTTTAATTAGGTTGGCCATGTCACTGAAAGCCCAACTATATTATCAGTTTCTCCCATTTTCTTCCTAGTATGCTGGTGTCTTTAAAGGCATTTCTTACTGTTTTCTTACTACTGACTGCAGGTAACAACAGCAAAGCTCCATTTATGCAAGGAACTGGCACTGACACAGATATTTAACAGATGGCCTACGCTTATGTCTTACACTACTGCTGATGCAATTAAGTAATTACTAGGGATAATTTAAAAACAAAAAACCCAAACAAAACCACAAAACCACAACCTTTAAGGCTATTGTAGGAAAGAGACACTAGTAAAATTCCCATCATCAATACCAAACATCTTTTACGCATCTTTTAAGGCCAGCCTTCTGTTCTTCCAGTCTTATTAACATGACATGTTCTTTAAATTGCTTTGAATCTATGCCTCAAATAGTCTGCCGTTTAGGATCTGACGTCTCTCTTCTTTCACTTGGTTGGACAAGTTCTGTAAATTAACACCATCCAAGTATTTAAAGTAGAGAACTTTATAGCCTGGCCTTTAGCACTAGAATGTCCTTGTTCTGCCTACGTTAAATGAGTGAATTTCTCAAAAAGGTAGCCAGAGTGGTAAGGAGAAAGCAAACAGCTACCATGAGCAGAGGTGCTGAATGATGACAGCATATCTACAGAATGTCTGTGAAGAGACTGAGACAGTGCCAAAATGCATGCGATTGATCTAGTTTCAAAGAACTAGCCTGCCCTTCAAAACTGGGACAACTCCAAGAAACAAGACTCCAAACTACATTTGTGCAACTTAGACATATTATTATGACTTTCACTGAAACATACCAACAAGGCAATCAGCAAAGGCTTCCAATTAATTCCTTTTATATAAGGTGTCAATGTGTAGGAGCTAATCCTCGAGCCCTGTTTTATAACAAAAAGAAAGTCTATGGGCAAATTAGACTAAAGTACTTGAACTGTGTAACTACAAATTTACAGCTGGTATCATTAGTTTTAAATAAGCTGTCACTTTGGACACAAAAATAGGACTCCATTTTGATGATACAAATTTACTCCTGTGAAGAGAGGTGTTTTCAAAACAAAACAATACAACCCTCCCACACTCACTTTGTAGTTTAATGTAGATTATATCCCAGTATTAAAATACTACATCCACTTACCATCATCTAGTGTGATGTCTTGCAGTCCTATTGTTTGAAAATTCAATTCTCGATCTTCAGGTTCTGGTTTAATGTTAATAGCTGCCCCATCTGGTGAAAATGGAGATGAATCGCATACGGTACGGCGTACTAGGGATGATGCTGCATTAAGACCTCCCAACGCTGGACTATGTGCTTGAGGGGAGTGCTGTCCCGAGTGAGCTACAGTGGTTGGCGGGGGAGATGAGGCAGGTCCTGAGCTAGGAGATTGATAAGGCAGAGGTTGAAGCTGGGGTGAAGAAGGCCCAGACAGCGGTGAATGGACCAAAGGGTGGGAAGCTGTTGGGGATGGGGATGAAGCGGACGCTGGATTGGTAGGATGGTATGGGACTTGCTGCAGCTGGGGGGAAGACTGCCCGAGGGAGCGACTCATTGCAGAAGGGATGGAGCCCTGCCCAGTGCTTGGGCAGTGGTATCCCATCGACGGCAGGTGAGGAGATGACTGTCCCGAATGAGCTGGGTGTGCTAGCGGGTGCCCTGCTGTACTCGATGTTGACACAGAACCTGGATTGGAAGAATGAAACTGCATTGGTGGTAGAGCTTGGCAGCTAAGGTTTATCAAATGAGGTACAGCTGTGTCTTGCGGAAATGAAATAGCATCAAATCCTTGGCTGGAGGCAGAGTTCATAGGAAGACCAGACTGTCCGTTGTATACATCATTAGACTGCATAGGCTGGTAAGAAGGCCTCACAGGAGGTGCTGATGTTACCTGAAAAGACTGAACCACAGCAGGAGGCAAAACATGACACTCTTCACTTGGACTAAGGTTTCGACCTTGCATATGTGGCAGGTGGGATACCGCTGAGGTCACCATCGCTGTGTATGGTGCCTGAACTGGACACACAAGGCTCCTGGGTGATGTAGACAGTAAATTGTCATGTGGATGCCCTTGCTCTGGTGAAGGCAATTGAGTTCGGATAGAATGCAGGCCCTGGACGTTGCTTGTGTGAGGCAGGGCCAAAGATGGAACAGCAGACAAATCCACCTCATCTCTATGCTCTTGCTTCATTATAACTAGAAAAAGTAAAACACTGTATTACAATTCCTACTCATTTGTATCCCGTGATAAATACATTTAATTAAAAGCGCTGTTTAAAACAGCCACAATAGTATTGTTAATGTCCTTGCTCCAATTTCCCTTTTGCTTTGCTTTCATTTTCTTTGACTTTATGCCTGCTATATTAACCCTTAAAAGCCAGAAGAACTCTCCTAGCATTTATTCAAAGGCAGTTATCTTCCTTTCTAAGATACCCTCCTATGCCATGTATGTCTTTAAAGACATCTGCAGCCCAGCCAGAGAAAGTCCAGCACATCTAAAGGATACAGCTCAGAGGTGTGTGAGGGGGTTGCTGCTGGGCTCCACTGAAAATAGGCAGGCAAGAGGTCAGTATCGGGCACTAGGAAAAGGTGAATGAAATTTTTAGCAGGCTTCAGACTTTCCGTAGCCTCTGATGAAGATGATGACAGCTCAACTTTGGTAAAGCAGTCAAACTAGTTAGAGTAGTGCGTGTGGTTTTAATTACAGCGGCCCTTTCAGCATATCATCCAATTTCAATCACGGCAACAATTGTTCTTGTAAGACAGAGAGTTACAAATTAACACACTTTCAGTTACAGCATTATTTTTTTTTTAAACTACTGGTAGGCTCGTGAAAAGATACTGATTTTTTTAAAGTACAAATAGTAGAAAAGTGCTAACACTTTTAACTGCTCAATTACTATTTTATAAAATATACTGTTAAATAAACTGTTATGTATATTTATAGATAAAATGAATATTAAAACGTTTGTGCAATAACAGCTGCAGATAAAATTAAACTTGCTTCTTATTTAAGCGGTTAAGTGTCATTACCTCATGCCAGCATTTAAATCATTTAAATATGGATTTCTCAAACAAAAATATAGTTTAAGATGTGTCTTGTAACTATCTCAAGAGCTGATATTCTTAAGAATGGTTGACAAATATCACATAAATTTGATAACATAATCAATGTATACTTAGCATACCAGATACATAGGTAACATTGCTTACGTTACACATGAAAGTATGAAGGAGGTAATTTTAGAGCACAAGGGAGCAAAACTCATTTTAAATTGTGTAAACTAATGGAAGTTGGCTTTGTCAGCATAAACATTAGCTTTAAGAAGTTTATATTAATATCCACATCTGACTTTAAAGATCCCTTCAGCTATCTGACTTCAAGTCCTCCAAACAGTACTAAGGGCCTAGTGCCATCGCTGGTACCTTGTGAATTCTGACTACTCTGAACAGGTATGAGTTTCTTAAAAGAAAAGAAAGCAAGTGGCACGCAAAGGAGCAGGCGGTGCATACTTAGTAGTAACCACTTCCTCTTACCCAAAGGGAAGGGAAGAAGATGTTTTAACTACACGTTCAGTTAATATGTACAGTTTTTGCTTCTGGCTAAGTTACAAACTATTTTCTCTCAGCATGCTGCAATGTGTCCAGATGGGGGGTGGAAATATTTTTTTATCTTCCTTGTATCTAAATCTGGGTTTGGTTTGGTTTTTTTTTTGACATTTAACCTCCTCTTCTATGCTCTCACTATCCTCCATGTCATCACTAGCATTATTTAAAGAGCAGCTTCTGAAATTCATCATCATTCTCAAAGAACAGTAGAATGCAAATTATTCTGTAAAAAGTGTAACAAAGAAACACCTGGCTGTAATCGCAATACTGTAGCTTATTACTCAAATTTCAGCTTTTAAATTAGACAAGCTTAAGTTGTTCAACAAACAATTCAAAGCTAGTCTTATCTACCTGTTGAAGGCACAAGACTGAATTACTTTCAAATGTCTGCTTTAAAAAAACAAAATAAAATGCAACTTTTAAATTTTTTATTTAATACCTGGTGTATAAGTAAAACGTTGAGACTGGCTTTTTTTCCTCTTGCCATTGCAGAGATAAAACTGCACCTGAACTGCAGCTGTAATGGTTTTGTTATGGTATGGAGGAACTTCAAGTATGATGTTTGCCTATATGAAAGTTGAAACAAAAAAGTTTACACATCAAATGCAAAGAAAACTACTATTAATTACAGAAAAACTAAAACACTTACTGATATTTTGAAATTGGTAAACTTCAAGTTTATGCATGTTACATAGTAAAACAGTGCTATACACAAACTTTTATTTGGAGACTTTTTTCCTTCTTTTAAACAGAACTGTTCTGAAGGTAATGCTTTTTAATTAAATAGACACAGCATCTAAAAGATGCTTTGTTTATCTGCCAGAGCAGTCAAAGAATTGCATTTTGGATCACTAAGCTTTTAAGAAAAGTTTTAATGCACTGGAAATTATTTGTCATCTTAGCAAAATTATCTTCAGTTTTCTTTTGTCAATTTTCAATTTCTTTTTTCATTCTTTCACAACAAGCATACTATTTCCAGTTCCTTAAAGGACCATCTTAATGGCTACTTTATAGTATTAAGCCAATTTAGAAGTCTCCAATTTTCTGTCTGCATCAGCCAATGATCTACTTACTTTACTAGATAAAATCTAAATATCAGAACAACAATGAAGATGTCTAGTTTCTCATTTTAAAACAGAAAGCTTTCTAAAGTAAGAAAAATTGTTTCTCACCCCTTGACACTTTTCCCTAATTATTTTCCCTTCTACCTCCCACTGAGGTCGTCCATCTGTTGAGAGAAATTTACAAATAATTCAAGCAAAAAGCATTTTCTAAAACACTTAAGTATTTAAGTATTTTGAAGATTAAGTATTTAATATAAAACTGCATTTATTTTCAGTCACAAAGATGCCATTCAATTAACAGGGATATATTGTAAACAAAGCGTAAAGTATGGAGATGCTCTAGGAGTTTCAACACTGCAGACATTGCAGACATTGTCCACAAGTTGACTGCTGTGCAGGATTCTGCATTCGAACAGAACCTGCTGATCATACACAGTCAGATTTAACTCCAAACAAGGCAGCGTGTACTGTAAGTGTACAGAGGGATTCCCCCCCCCCCCCCCCTTTTTTTTAAATGCGATGTGGAAGGGGTGCCCCCCCCCCCCCCCGCCTTTTTCTAGAAACGTTTTTGAAAGGTACTTAAATTACCGCTTACAGTTACGATTATTCAAACAAACATGCTGATGACTCACAGGTTAAGTCACCATGGGAGAGATAACATATGCCATACCTTCACGCATATACCCACAGGTTACACATTTACAACTACCACCCTCCTCTGAACCAAAAGACCCTGTAGTTCAAATACTGGGCTAGTTCTCGGTGTTGCGAGGGAAGTAAATTACCTTGGGGAACCTCTCTCGGCTCTGACCTAGCATAACCCTTTGTCCTTAATCTAACACTTGGTTCGCTCTGTTATGGGGTTTTGTACAGGTTATCAGGGAACCGATTGTCTAGCAGCAGTGCTTCCTTAAAAGGCGCTCCAAGTTGTGTGCCAAAATACATTATTGACATAAAACCTCCACTTACGTTGTATTTGCCAATCAGAAAAACCCCAACAACTCTGTTACCTAAATATTTAAGGAAACAGTAATATGTAGAAGAATTGGACTTAGTTTCAAACTTTTTTTTTTTAAATGATTTAGTTTTGCTACTGTTTTCCCCAAAGTTCAAATCAGGTATTCAAGTGACAGAAATGACAATTTAAGCTGTTCAAATTTTATGCTGTCTATATTAAAGGGATAATCGGGGATGAAAAGGAACTCTATGTATTAAGACATTTAGTCCTAAATCTTCAACTATTTTTCATGCATTTTAGTCTAAGAAATACTAAGATCAAGATGTATATCCAGAAGAGCTGGAACCAAGAAGCAACACTGAGTAACTGAACATCTTTGAGTAATACGTATGTACCTGAGCGTGTGTGTATGCGCATCTGTGTACAACGCAAAACAAAACCAAAGAAAACTCTCAAAACATTAATTATATCTGGTTGTAGTAAACTAAGAATGAAAATTATTTGATAGGGGGTTTTTTGGTGTTAAATCTCTAGTTTATGGAGTTGCATCATTACGAAAGTGACAGAAGAGAGAAAGAACATGGGTTTAGGGGGAAAAAAAAAAAAAGCTTTTGAACCTGTACTTACATTTAAAGAAAGAAGGTTTTAGAAATATTCATTCAAAATCTGGAAGTTTCTTTCTTAGAGATTTTATTTCCTATGTATTAGACTGAAAAATTTGATCGACTACTCTCCCAAAGAATAATTTGTTTAATTTCATGAGATCAGTAGGAAACAGTTAAATTTTTCTACAGATTTTACTGCATGAAGGAAAGACTATGTCTTTAGTATACTGAAGTATAGTTTAAGTGAAATCTGAGCCAGACCTTGAGACTTCTTAAAAAATGCATACCTTAAGAGTAACTTTTGTAGAAAATCTTTTGCAAATATATGGAAAAAAAACTCAGTAGTGTTTTCTAACTAGTATTTATTTCATTAGCTTAGAAGCAAGTCAGTTCCTATGCAGTTATTAAATCAGATGTAACATGACATCAATGCCATATAGTATATTTCCATTAGTTTCCTTTTTCATTTCTTTTTTTTAATAGGAAGGAGAACATATAGGGTATGATCTGTCAATAGCATCTTTCAAATACACACAATTCAAAGCTAGTTAGCCTGTAATTGTCTTCCTGAATCAGAAGCACTATTTCGTTAATATTGCCAACCAGCATATAGATTGGTGCCCAAACTGAAGTTTCAGACTACTATTTGTAACCTAACCTTTTTTTTTTTTTTTTCTTTTTAAAACATCCTTACTTCCTAAAATCAAGCTCAGGTAGTGTTTTTGGTTTTGTTTTCACGAACAAAAGTAAAATAGTATTTACCTTGTCCTTTTTCAAAAAATATAATTTTGGATTCTGGAAGAAAATTGGATCCTGTCACCACCATTTCATGGCCTCCATTTACTGAGCAACTATTGATGCTGTACTTCTCAATCTGAGGAAGTTCTTGAGCAGATCGCTGAGCTTTAAAAAAAAAAAAGGGAAAAATTATTATTCATAATTTTAATCACAGTCATTTTTATGGTCCTAACATGAAGAATCAGAGGTGAAACTAAAATGACCATCTATTTACATATATAAATCGCATTTGCGTATGATTTATCTTTTTAAAATTATGTTGAAATTATGCAATTATAGAAAACACACACCAAGAAGCCATGAATTCCAACAGTCTCTACTGTTACAGAAAATGAAAATTTTCATTTAGGAATATTGGTTTACAAATTACTTTAGCATTTTATAGACAAAATTAATTCTAGGAGAAATTCAGATTGTTTGCAGTCATGCTTTGATTCCTTAGTGAGAGTATTTAACAAACGAACTCTCTAGAAGTTCAGCTGTTCATTAGATAATACTGTATAAAGACAAGCAATGGTATAGATGCTTGTAAATGAAGCAGTAATAGTTCTTCCTGAATTGAACATTTATTTTCACTGAGATACATCAGCTGCCTCTGCTCCTATACAGGAACTACTCAAGCTGCAAGCTGTGTGACTGCAGTATTAGGTTTAAAGCCTAAAACATTGTTTTTTCCTCCAAACCTTCAGGCGACCACTTGGCAAGTACCATCTTTAAATAAAGATACATTAAAATTTGGTAATTTAGCTCTTTACACACAATGCTTTTTACACACACTTGTTATATATAATTCTGACAATAAATATTGTCAGAATACTGACACTACTACTGACACATGCAGAAAACATGAGTATAAATTACATATAGTTAAAGCAATCTTACAGCATTCAACAGGTATGGAAGCAGTCTGCAGAGATAAGACTTTTCCACTAGGTTGTGGGATGTGAACACGAAACACAAGTCGCACTCTGGTATTCTTTCTTCCAATATCTGTCTCTCCTTTACGGAGCTCTATATCTGAATTGCGAAGTTTCAAAATACCAGCACAATCGATACTGGAGATAGGTGAGGACGGATGGATCAGAAGAGAAATGGAAGAAAATGAATCAAACTATTGCCAAAGTATACTCTGTAAGCCTTTCTTTTGTTAAAGAATGAAGCACATTCTATTTTTTCCCCATGTTACACTATTTTAAATGTTATTTTAGATGTCCGAGATTAAAAGATCTGTTAGTGTCAAAAATGGCACCAAGTACCCTGTTGAAACATTTTGTCTTGTAAATGTCTAGCTGCTGCTTTTTTGAACCTTTAAAAGACTCTGTTATTGCACATTGTTTAATCTTCAAAGTAAGCTATTTTACATAATAAACATCATTGAGCAAGAGACCGTAGTTCTGCCTTGGAAGGACTAGAGCATGACAAAAGTGTAGCCACCAAATCCCAGCTACCATTCCACATAGTTATTGATATGAGACACATACTTTAATTAAGTAACATGTATACGTAAACTTGTGAGGACCGTTATCTTGCACATCACTGTAGTTTCACAGCATTCAACAGAACTAGCATGAAGTCTGCAACTAGGAAAATTTAAGCTGACTTCAGAAGTCTACATAAGAAATAAACATGCTACATTAACAAAAAATTCTCCACTGATCCTCCAGCTGGAACAGAGCAGTTTAATTGTTGCTATAATGAACCATTAAACTATTATTTAGCACATTCTATCTGGCAAGTCTAGAAAAGTCAGAATAACACAACTGCTAAAAATAATTTTTTTTAAAAAAAATAATCAAATCAAGCAAAAGGCATACCAAGATACCAGAAGTTAAATCACCTCATTCAATCAAGAAACAAACAACTAAACTGTATGACTGCATTTTCATAGCAAAAAGTCTTACATCTTTGTAAAATCAAAGAAAAAAAATTCTACCAGCCGGTAACCCACATGCAATTCTACAAACATAGTCATATATACATATGGATTGTATGGGGAAGTATAATCACAGAAGCACTCATCTATCTCCCTGTCAATCTTGGGAGCTTCCCTGTCTCTCTACTCCTTCTGACTACCTACCCACTGGCATGTTTAAAGAGATGTATCGATCTTAATCATGAGGCAGATTTGTGGACAATATGCTATTCTACAAGATTTTTCTTTCACCTTTGTACAAATGAAAAAAAAAAAAAGAAAAAAAAAGATGATGCACAGTGACTAAACAGTTAATTTAGGCTGTACCTGGCTGACATATTATTTTCAGGAAGAAGTGGTATTTCCAAAACTTTTGTGCTGGCAATTATTATCTCTTGACTAGCGGTGGCAACTGTTTTTCCAGTGATTCGGTGCACCTGGTAGAAGGCATGAGGTCTTAAGTAGCGATCATCTGCCGTTCCGATGAACATTTGCAGGTTTACTGGCTTTTCGCTGTAGCCCAGGAGCTGATGGAAAAAGTAGATGAAATATTAAGATATTAGATGACTGTTACTGCATTTGTGTGTGTGTAATGTAAGTACACAACTAGTACAAAGACTTAAGAGTCAAAGACTAGTATTTAATTACAAACTTCTTCAATCTCTTCAGACATCAAAAAACCGAGTACACATACCTGTCTTCAATACAAGTATCAGCAACAACATTTACCAGAATGAACGGGTATCAAAATGTCTTCATTACTTTTGAATCTCTCAAAGAGAAAAGAATTGGTTTATCTACAGAATTTCGACATTGAAGTTATGCTATGTTATAGGTGCGTTTCTGGTAGTGTTTTTAATCAAAGTCAAATTATCAGTTTTACTAAGATACACCTAGTTTCTAGAAATACTAAAAAATATTTTAAAGTTTAGTTTTTCTACTATGGAATGCAATAGTGAGTTTTATTAAACTCTAGAGGTTTTGTGAATGCAAATGTATCATGTTAGGACAAAGAAAATTTAATTCATAGCTAGAAAATCAAGTACGGTTTATTTCTGGCAAAGAAAATGTTTTAAACCCCAAAATCTGATAAATGTTAATTCATGCATCTTTCCTTAAGAGTAACCACCAACACACTCAGTTGTCATAAAACCACCTGTTGCTTGAGCTAACAGTAGTAATTCTAGGCACAAACCACATGGAAACATTAGAAAAAAAAATAAAATAAATGAGCTCTAAAAGAGAAAGCTAGTTTTACGATAGTACGTTAGTAACATGTTATCCAGAAGATTTAAGGAAATAAATTTAATGAACAATAACATGCAGGTTTCCTTGAGCCACTGCAATTTTAAATCCAAAGCCTACAAAATGCGTCTTAGAAACCCATGGAGTTTACTTCAGCATTCTGCAATTGGCAGATGGATGCACACTGCAAGTTATATAATTTCTAAAATGCAATGCAGCAATTTTACATTTCATTGACTTTGACATCAACTTAAGCTTAAACTGGAGGGAGGGCCAGACAGTCGTTCCTTAAAGGGGGTTTTGTCATGTCAATATTTTTGTCTCTAGGGAGAGTTATTTGGTCGTACAACAATATTATCCAAGCTCTTTACAGAACTAACACTTAAAAACCAAACAAAACCATGTCAATTTAACCTACTTAGAAGAGTAATTTAATGCCAGTAGTCAACAGTACAAAACACCCACACCCCGAAATCAGAAGCACCACGGTACATTTGTTGTATCTTGGTGCACTACTATTGGCACCAAGTTTTACGTACACCAAATGAACGCCCATTTTCTACATTCAAGTTACGGCTATGACAGCATCTACCAGTCTTGTCACTTTTATTTGAGCTTTCTCAATCAAGAACAGAAATTTGGTTTCCAATAGAAGAAGTCTGGAGCTTAAAAGAGCCATTCTCAAAGCTTTCAGCCTTACATGAATGCTTTTGTCCAAGAAGTAATACTCGTTAAGTAATCCATCTAGATACAACAGCATGGTTGTATTTCCTTTCCATTAATTTTAGTTTGTCTTCTTCCCATTTGCCCAATGAGGTTAAATGTGATCGAGAAGCAGAATACCCCAAATCTAGAGCACTTAAGACAAATAAAGCTGAGCTTACTCAAACAAACCCAAAACAACAACTGAGGTTTGTTCTTCCACCTCTTTGTATCCAGTGCGCACACACAGTCTAAAATAATTCCCGAGACATACTGTAGATAAAAATCTACAGACAAGCTACAGCCTATAACTGTTGGTGAGCAACCACACACATACCTTGAGCAGCCAATACAAAAGCTCAATAGATCGAATACATGATTTGTTACAATCACAGCATTACAAGATTGTTCTCAGAGAAAATGCCTTTTTTTTTTTTTTTTAAAGTGAATGGAGAGGGAAGAAACGAAACAGTTCAGAATTACCGCTTCTATTGCTTTTCTGGCCTGGGAGATCTCTAGACGATTGACTACTGCGGTAAGGAGATTGTGCTGCTTTTCATGGTTGTAGACAAAGAATTCTGAATTCTGTTGTCCTCAAGTGTGCTTGTACCTTTCTTGGGAGACGTACATCATCTCCCAGCTGCGATGCCTTTAAGAAGCCGCTGCAGTTCAACTTTTACCTGAAAATGTGGACTACGTTTATACTGCATTGTACATAGAGTACACACCAGGTTGCGCTGAAGCGGACTAGTTTCTGTCCTTAAACTCAATGAATTCTCATGTGTCTCCCCACCTGATTCCAGCTACCATCAAGAATTCACGCACGCACAGGTAAGCGGAACAAACCGACTTAACTTTATTAAAGTTAAATCAAGAAGTCACATCTCCTCATGGGTTTAACAATCCTTACCCCCTCAGACCCTCAATATAACAAAGGAGAAATATCTGCCACAAAAAGCCATCAATCTTTGAAAGTCATGGAAGCTTCTATCAAATACAACATCCAGTCCTATAACTGACATCTTTCCAACTAATTTTTACATGATCTCATTTATTTATGAGATATATATATGCATGTTTATTACTTGCAGGCTTTTGTTCTGTCAAATACGTAAAATCTTTTTGTTCTCCGTGGGGTTCTCAGGACAAACAGCTAAATCCAGCAAATAAACTCCACAACAAACCAAAAAAGCCCCCTCAGGCATTAAGTGGAGACAGTCTAGATCATCAGAGTTGCTTCCCACGTAAATAAATGTGATATTCAAGCATTTACAAATGTTACAGTGGAGACAAAGAACCTCCTGTGACCACCAGTGTACTGACAGGTTTCTCTCCCTTCCTGTGTTGGAAGTCACCTGTAAACTGTAGGAACACAACTGGACCACAACAAACTCTTAGTTATTGTTCTGTTGATAGTGGAGCATAGGGATGCTTACATCAGTTAAATACATAAACGCCTAAGTTCCTTTTTAGACTTGATGCAAGACTCCCAACATCTTTCCAAAATAGATTTTTTCAAATACCAAATGAACATTTTCTTATTTTCTATGAGTTTGAATTATTTTAGGAGTTTAAAGAAAACTTAAGCACATGTATGAGTTTAGCATTTACAGCAGCCATCTTGTCCCAAGTTCTCAAAACTACGACTCCACCATCCATTTTCCTCAGAGTTAAAATTAAATCTTAACACAATGGAATACAGCCTAAATGTGACGTTCATTAAATGTGTTCATTCTAATACGGGGAATTATACAAATTACAAGCCAGCCCTATTCAAAAATTTGAATCACTTCCAAATGGGGTCACTGTGACAAAGCTAATTTCCAATTAAAGCTATCTTCCTCTGCCTTAACAATGGACACGTACACAACAGTTCTAGCGATACTAGCGATATGAGGAGGGGGTGGGAGGGATACTCCTAAAACTAAACTGGTCTGTCTGCGGTCAGTGGAGAAACTGTCCTGTACAGAAGCCTATACAGAGCAGGGGCTTAATTTAGTGAAGCAAAATATCTCTACGCCAGCAGTTGCAATAGCTTTGCCTACGAGACTCTATGGCTGTATACTACATTTGAATTGCTCAAAGCCCCGTCTGACATTAGTTTTGCTTCCATTATTCTTCAGCAAAGTTCACCCTCTATGCTCGCCCAGATACGCTGCTACGGAAGCCACCTAGGCCCTGGTTTCTGCAAAGCACGTTGTGCGAGGGGAAGGTGGTAGGGAAGTCTGACAAAAATGCCCACCCACCAACAGATCAGTTAGTTATGTATCAAATTGCTTATCAAGTGCGCTTTCTGTGTGATGCTCTTGTGATACAAGCTCGTGCGTTTGTTGCCTGTCTTGCAACAGTACATTAGCTATACCAAAGTAGAAATTTGAAACTGTGTTACTACAGCTTCAGAAGAAATAATAAACCCCCCAACAAGACCCCACACAGTAGCACCACCTTTAGTCACTTTCCTTCTGCTTTATATATTAAATTAAATTAAAACAAACATGAAATCCAGCCCCCCCAAGGAAACTACAAGGAAAATTATTACAATGCAACAGAATACACTTATAGTAACTTAGAAGAAACCTATGCATGTTATAATACAGACACATATAAATAAAACAATTAAAAATGATCTGTAATAACATCAGGACAAAACCTGAAAATTTCGTACATACTTGAAAGCCATGCCGGTGTAAACGGGTCTCAAAACAAACAAACAATCCAACAAGGCCCACCCCCAACTGTGTCAATCAGACGTTTGCATTGTGGCTTTGTCTGGACTGAACTGCTGTAAAAGATCTGCAATGAAGTCCTGTTAAAGGTATAGAATATACAGGCGTGGTTAGGTTAGGCAGAGTAGTAACCTACTGGCAAGGCAGCAGAGACTTCATAAATTTATATTTTGCATTACAGATAATTTCTTGCATTTATTCAAGGTTTAAAATAAAAAGAGAACAGCATAGAAGAAAAACAATGTAAAGCCGTAAGTTTAACCAATGTGTGCAAGTAAGTGTGGCAATTAAGTAAGCTGGAGGGCGGGGAAGAAAAGAATAACGCCGTCTGCCCCATTATAGAGTGTAATTCAGGGCCTGATCACAGTAAGGGCGGCAGCATTAAAAGGAAACATACCACAGTCTTAAACAAGCAACAGGCAGGTGACACAGTGTCCTTGTGTTTCCAACAGCCATATTTACCACAAAAAAAGACAGTAAGGTTAACAGGCTATGGATGCTGATGAGACAGCTTTATGTGCTAGTTAAAACTTTAAGGCAGCTGGAGAGACTGTCAAAACCAACATACTGATAAAAAAAACAAACCCAAACAACTGACAAAACACCCCCAACCTTTATTACACAAATTTGTGCTTTAGAATTAGCATTTCCCCTTACATCTTGTCTAGTAAGTGAGCGGACAACTCTGGGCATGGCATGGATTCTGCAAGAGTAAAATTGAAAATTTACAGTGTCTGTAATCAAAGAAAGAGAAGAGTCTGTGGGGGCCAGTGAGCCAGGGGGTAGGTACAAAATGATCCGACAACTTTGTGGAGAGGATGCCTGCAGAGCCCATGTCATTTCTATTACATAAG